GTTCAACTCGATGACGTCCCGCGAGCTCCGATCTAGCAAAGATTTATAGGTGATTTTCGTCAGCATGACGGCGTGGTGACGGTGATGATGATGCTACCGAAGCAGGGCTTCGCCTAAGCACCGCTACGATATGATCGAGGTGGATTATGGTGGAGGAGGGCACCGCACACGACTAAGAGATCAATGATCAATTGTTGTGTCTATGGGGTGCCCCTGCCCCCATATATAAAGGAGCAAGGGGGAGGAGGCGGCTGGCCAGGGAGAGGCGCGCCAAGGGGGAGTCCTACTCCCACTAGTAATAGGACTCCTCCTTTTCCTAGTAGGAGTAGGAGAGGGGGAAGGAAAGGTAGAGGAGGAGAAGGAAAGAGGGGGCCAGCCCCCTTTGCCCTAAACCAATTCGGTTTGGGCCTTGGGGGAGCGCGCCCCACACTTCCCTTGCTTCCCTATATTTCTACTAAGGCCCATGTAGGCCCATTAAGCCCCGGGGGGGGGGGGGTTCCGGTAACCCCCCGTTACTCCGGTATATGTCCCAAACCTTCCGGAACCTTTTCGATGTCCGAACATAGTCGTCCAATATATCGATCTTTACGTCTCGACCATTTTGAGACTCCTCATCATGTTCGTGATCATATCCGGGACTCCGAACTACCTTGGGTACATCAATACACAAAAACTCATAATACATATCATCATCGAACTTTAAGCATGCGGACCCTACGGGTTCGAGAACTATGTAGACATGACCAAGACACGTCTCCGGTCAATAACCAATAGCGGAACCTGGATGTTCATATTGGCTCCCACATATTCTACGAAGATCTTTATCGGTCAAACCGCATAACAACATACGTTGTTCCCTTTGTCATCGGTATGTTACTTGCCCGAGATTCGATTGTCGGTATCTCAATACCTAGTTCAATCTCGTTACCGGCAAGTCTCTTTACTCGTTCTGTAATACATCATCCTGCAACTAACTCATTAGTTACAATGCTTGCAAGGCTTATAGTGATGTGCATTACCGAGTGGGCCTAGAGATACCTCTCCGACAATCGGAGTGACAAATCCTAATCTCGAAATACGCCAACTCAACAAGTACCTTCCGAGACACCTATAGAGCACCTTTATAATCACCCAGTTACGTTGTGACGTTTGGTAGCACACAAAGTGTTCCTCCGGTAAACGGGAGTTGCATAATCTCATAGTCATAGGAACGTGTATAAGTCATGAAGAAAGCAATAGCAACATACTAAACGATCAAGTGCTAAGCTAACAGAATGGGTCAAGTCAATCACATCATTCTCCTAATGATGTGATCCCGTTAATCAAATGACAACTCATGTCTATGGCTAGGAAACATAACCATCTTTGATCAACGACCTAGTCAAGTAGAGGCATACTAGTGACACTCTGTTTGTTTATGTATTCACACATGCAACATGTTTCCGGTTAATACAATTCTAGCATGAAAATAAACATTTATCATGATATAAGGAAATAAATAATAACTTTATTATTGCCTCTAGGGCATATTTGCTTCACTAACTTCTGCAAGATTCATGTTGATGCAGGAATCAGGTTTGGAAGGAAAGGATCAGCTGCAGCAATATGCAGGGACCACCGAGGAAATTTCATGGGTAGCTCATCTTTGGTTATTGATGGAATGGATGATCCATCACTCATGGAAACTACAGCGTGTAGGGAGGCTCTCTGCCTAGCAGAAGATCTACACGTAAACCAGTTTGTGGTAGCGTGTGACTCTAAACAGGTTGTAGATGATATTTTGCAGAACAACCAAGGCAGAGGAGGAGCTATCATCAAGGAGATCAAAACCCAGACTACACCGTTTACTTGCTCTCTTTTTTAAGGTCGTGACTCGAATTTTGAGGCACATAGATTAGCGAAATTTTCTCTCTCTTTAGCTCATGGGCGTCATGTGTGGTTTGGCCAGCCGCAAAATGTAAACTCCATCCCACTCTCGTGGTTTATGATGAATAAAGCATGCTTTTACCCCTCAAAAAAGGAGTGGGAAGGAGGAAGGGAGAGAGAGAGAGGATTTTTTTGAATATATGAGCAAATTGCTAAGAGACTTAATCTGGATAAACAGTAAATAAATCATGACGATAATAGCAGGGAATGAACTAATCATGCAGACTATCAAAGTAGATGAAGAGATCAAATCTAAGGCACGGACTATAAATAGTAATTCCAGTATGATCTCAAATAAGGAGGACATAATCACATCCGGTGCAGCGGGAGCAGGACCATCGGCGTTGATGTTGTCGCCCATGTTGTTGATGAAGAGGTTGCTGAGGTCGGGGAAGAAGTTGTCGCTGGTGAAGTCGTCGCTGTCAGCAGTCACGCGAGTGTGCTCCCCAAAAACATGATCTCCCCTCCCGTACAGGATCACGAGAGGCGGGGTTTCGGAGGCTTGCTGTCCCTTTTCGCGGTGCATGCCAGAAGAAGGGATGGAGAAGACTTGCATGGCAGCGCAATTTTCTGGAACGGTGTGAAACCATATGTTGTGGCGACAGCTAGGGTAGACGTTTGCCTATCTATGTAGTGCGGGTCAGATAGGTCACGGGAGTAAACCCTACTTCCAAGTCAGTGACAACCCCACGATTCAAAAGAATCGAAAATGGCTGAGTAATTAGCGCGTCCGTTAATTAATAATTAATGACACATTAATTTTTCCGAGTAGAAAAAATATAGACAACATTCGTAGCTTTGTCATCGGCTCGGCTCATTCCTGAAACCCGACGCAACGCGTCGTGACAAGGCGAGGCAAGGCATGGCGTGGCGAGGCGAGCAAGGAGGACGAGCACGCGTGTATGTCTCCTCTTCTCATGCTCATACAAGTGCTAAAAGAGTTCACCTTATAAAGTGGTGCAACTCACTCTCACCTAGCAGTATGGGACTAAACGCTAGTCTCACTTACACTACACACAGGTATGTATGAATGGACCATGAGAATTTCATATTTTAGATGGAATTTAGGCCAAAGGCCTACTAGTAAAATCCAACAGAATTGCCATGATGGGAGTTGCACATAGGGAGCTGACTATGCTTCTTGATGCTTTGTGGTAGCACCTGGAGGCTTGCACGTCGATTTGAGGGCTTAAAGGGTGTCGCCACATTACATAGGTTTTATTGTGCTCCACGCTGCATTCTTCTCGTCGGTTCTTTAACTTGGTGTGTTTCTTCTTCTTTGTTCTTCCTTCCATCGCAGTTGTTTCCTATTTAGATTGGGGAAATTATCCATTGGACCGAGGGGCAGGAAATTCTTTCTATATATATAGAGCCCACCCGGGCCGGGTGAGATTGCGGAAATTCATTCCCGACGGGAGACGACCCCTGGTCTGCGAGGATGCGCCATTGCAACATTTCCACTAGGGTACTGCCCAGCTCTCGCTATCCACTATTTTATTTGTGGCTCGATGGACATCGTTTGAGCTGATCAGGCCAGCGTGGTTCCGAGTTGTTGGTATGAGCATATTCTATAGAGGGCATTATCAGGTCATCTTGTGTTCTCTAGGATTTTCGAATCCCCTCTAGGATATGTTGTTTTGTGCAAATGTTTTGCTTGTGTGGTAGAGTCACATCGATGGATAGTTGTCATTGTACTCATGGTCATGTCCTAGTCCATGCACGTAGAAATGTGGCAACTTTTCCTTCAAAAAAAATGTGGCAACTTTCTCTCTCAGTGTTTGGCCCCATGGTGGTATCTTTGTTCACTCTCTATTATCTCACTTCTTGTTGCTACCTTTCAGCCAGGAGCAGTTTTAACATTCTCCTTTTTACCCCCTTTTTTCGCATGAAAGGTAAAAGTATATAATAGATATGAGCCGTTGGTTTCACCGATTAGCGGTTTGATTAACTCTTACCTTCTTAGCTTATATAAAAAAAAGATAAGAGGGAGCATGTTAAAATTTGCCTTCAGTTATGTCTTTGTGTGTGCTCGCGACGATTTGTTCATTCTCCGTGTGTCGTGCGATATGGCTCGCCTTTCTTGATGTTTGATCCTCTTTTCGTTTGTGCGTGGCCATTCCTGTCACGTCTGAATATAGGATTGGTAATGGCTTTCGGGGTTTCTGTTCAATGCAATTGCCCAAAAACAGCGTGGCTCATCTCCAAGGCGTGGTGTGCAGGTTCAACGCGATTGTCCAAAAAGCGTTGCAGCTTATCCCAAAGATGTGCTGTGCATGTCTTGCTACGTGCTGCACGCCTTGCGTTTGTTCCTTTGCGTTTTCCTGTTTTGGTCAACCTATTCACACGAATATATTTTCTGTGTGTGTGTGTTGGCCTCTAGCTCTGTCGCTTTGTAGGTGGAAAGACACCGAGAGGGAAGCACGTGAGCCCTGGGATAGTAAACGACCACCAAAGAAACCGTTAACCGGCTCATTCAGCCAAAGAAGAAGTTCTAAAAAGCTGGCTAAAACTGGCATCGTAGGACGAAGCATCGGCCAGGTTGATTCGTGCCGGCAACCCGAACACGTTGCCAGGGTGCCTAGCCACGATTCAGCGGCCACTTACCACCGCTGGTGCGGTGGTGCCACTCCTCCCCACGGCCCTCCGCGTGCCGTCCCGGTGTCCCACGAAGGCACGCATTCAATACCGCCACTACGGTGGCCATCAGTCAATGCGCCACCCCAAGGCAAATCAAGCTCGCCACCCCAGCAAAGGGGACGGCCATCCGTCCCCGGACCAGGCGCCGGCCCATCACGTCACGGCGCCGCGGCTGGGAGCGGAATAAAACGGGAGCTGTAGCCAGGATCTGGTTCCACCGGCGCACCGCCACAAGAGACGAAACTCCCGACGCGGGACTCCACCTTCGCTCCCCCACACGGGAAGAAGCAGACAAGCGGCGCGTTTCCCCACCGGGAAGCTACTAGTAACCGCGGCCAGCCGAGGCTTCTCCTCCTTCTTCGTCTTCTTTCTCCCCTACTCTTTTTTGTTCTCCTCGCCCACGGTTTCCTGGCCGGACCACGGGGGATAGGCGGGCAATGGCGACGGCGAGGCGGGGAGGAGTGGGCTGGAGGGCGGTTCTTGCGGCGGTGCTGCAGCTTCTCGTGGCGGCGGAGGCCGGGAAGTACAACGCGGTGTTCAATTTTGGGGACTCCCTGGTGGACGCCGGCAACCTGGTGACCGAGGGCATCCCGGACTACCTCGCCACGGCGCGGCCGCCCTACGGCCAGTCCTACTTCGGGTACCCCACCGGCCGCTGCTCCGACGGCCGCCTCGTCATCGATTTCATCGGTAATTCGCAGATTGGTCCTTTTGAGTCATGTCTTGGTCGCGTCCTCGGTTCGAGATTCGACTGATTTGGCTTCCCTGGTGCCCGCAGCGCAAGAGTTCGGGCTGCCGCTGCTGCCCCCGTCCAAGGCCAAGAACGCCAGCTTCGCGCAGGGCGCCAACTTCGCCATCACCGGCGCCACGGCGCTCGACACGGAGTTCTTCGAGAAGCGGGGGCTCGGGAAGAGCGTCTGGAACTCCGGGTCACTCTTCACCCAAATCCAGTGGCTACGCGACCTCAAGCCCTCCTTTTGTAACTCCACCCAAGGTAGTACTCTATAGTACAAGAAACAAAATAAATTATTCTTTATTCACATTCATATTATATCTCCATTTCATTGACGTTGATGTCTGAATTTTATCTGAATTGGGTGTTCCTGTTTTCTTGTATCTGAAGAGTGCAAGGATTTCTTTGCCAAGTCCCTGTTCGTCGTGGGTGAATTGGCCGGAAATGACTACAACGCGCCGCTCTTTGCCGGGAAGGATCTCAGCGAGGCCTACAACCTGATACCCCATGTCGTTCAGGGCATCTCAGATGGTGTCGAGGTGAGCATTTGCGTCCTTGCAGTGTTCCAGCATGCTGTGTGCAGTAGCTTTGTTCTAATTCCTTGTGCGTGCTGCAGCAATTGATTGCCGAGGGGGCAAAGGATTTAATTGTGCCTGGAGTGATGCCGTCTGGGTGCTTTCCAGTGTACCTGAGCATGTATGTTGATCCTAAAGAGGGGTACGGTCCGCGTACCGGCTGCCTCAAGCGATTCAACACATTTTCATGGGTGCACAATGCGATGCTCAAGCGTGCGCTGGAGAAGCTTCGTGCCAAGCACCCTGGCGTCAGGATCATATATGGGGATTACTTTACACCAGTTATCCAGTTCTTGCTTCAGCCTGAAAAGTTTGGTGAGTTTCCAAGTTCTTTATCTTGTGCTGTAACTAGGTTGTCACCTATAAATAATTAAATATGTTAATGTGATTGGTTTAGCACTGGAAAACTTGTGGAGTCTGATATTATATTACTAAATATTTGCTCTCTTAGTTCTAAATTTGAGATAGAAATTTAACATTTCTTAACATACCTAATTTGACTTAGTTTCCTAGTCAGCTGTCAAACTATGTACTTGTGAGATGCAATAAACGTTACTGATAAAAAATTCAGATCTAGGTGTAGGGTTTTTCAGTGTCTTACAGAGTGCCATTTATCTTCTGTGTGTTTAAGATGTGACATACCATAAGTATACAAATTTTGTTATAATCATATGGAATGTCATACTCTAGCATATGGAGTATCTAGTATCTACATCCAGAATACTACAAATTTTGTCAGTGATGCAGATACCAGGAGTAATCTTCCATTAACTAAAAAATACGGAGTATACTTCTATGGAGATTTCACATTGTTTTTTTTCTTCTGATATTGGGAAATGGACCTATTACTCCCTCCGTTCCAAAATATAGCGCGCCCACGCTTTTCGAGATTCAACTTTGACCATAAATTTAACCCACGAGACCGACTGCGGCGGGATCAAAAATTATATAATTAAAAACTTTTTTTGAATACGAATTCATTGGTATAATTTTTTCGCCCGCCGCAGTCGGTCTTGTTGATTAAATTAATGGTCAAAGTTGAAGCACGGAAACCGAGGACGCGCTATATTTTGGAACGGAGGGAGTAGCTCTCATGCCTTAGTTGTGCATGTTTTCATAGGCTGTGGCACAACTGTTGCAGTAAATCCTTGTTTTGTGGATTCTTGTCGCCATACAACATTGGCAGCTAAAAACTTGCCCCTGCCCTTTAAGTTATCAAAACTATATAAGAATTTATATCTTGTATTTGTGTTCAGCCCATATAAAATTGTCCACAGCATAAGTACAATCATCTTGACGGCTAACTGTGAAGTTTAGATCTGCCTGCAAGAGAAAATCCTTATCTCGTATCGAAAAGAAATCTTAAGGAGCTGTAAAGGCATATCTATAGAACATCAAAGCAATGTGTGTATTAGTACATCAAAGCAATGTGTGTATTAGTGTATCATGCCATATTGAAACAAAAAATTGCGAGTTCTCAAGCAGAAATTACTTCTGCATTAGGATATTGCTAAATTGGGCATTTTATTATGAGAATCGTGTAGAGCATCATCTTCCTACCTGGTAGTAAGTGTTGCAATGGTAAGATTTCCGAATAACAAACTTATATTCAAGTCCTTACCACTAGACAGTGAAATACAAACACCAGAAATTTGCCCAGTTAGCTGAACCGATCTTATGCCCATATATATATTTATGTTTATTATTTCTGTTCATACTTATTGTTTATTCCCGTTGTAGAAAAATGAACATGTACTGTACTTTAGACATCATTCTGAACAAATAAGAAAACAAAGGCTCATACAGGTGACACATTTGTGTCAGAGGAGGAAATTTCCATTTACTGATCGCTTTAAGGACATACGAGAGCCATGACCCATCATCTCTGTTTCACTGGCACATTAGCAGAATGGTAGTCATTTAATTATTCCGGCATGTTTGTCTTGAGTCTTGACTACCGCCTCGTATCACAAGCATAAGATTTCTAACTTTTTTCTGAATCGGATGTATATAGACACATTTTAGTGTGTTTGTTCGCTCATTTCAGTGTATGTAGTCCATGTTGAAATACCCAAAACATCTTATGTTTATGAACCGAGGGAGTACATGATAAGGGGCAAAGATGTGTCTATCGTTTGTATAAACATGATATACATCTGTTCGCAGAAAGCAACCAAGGAGATTTTCTGCCAAGCAGGGACCTAACATTTCAGCTCTTGATGCAGGATTTCACAAGCAGCCGCCTAGAGCATGCTGCGGCGCTCCCGGGAAGGGCCCTTACAACTTCAATCTGACAGCCAAGTGCGGCGAGCCTGGTGCTACGCCGTGTCCTGATCCAAAGACACATTGGAGCTGGGACGGCATTCACTTGACTGAAGCCGCATATGAGCACATTGCCAAAGGTTGGTTGCATGGCGAATTCGCGGATCAACCTATCATACAATCTTCCTGATCATCTACCTACCTAGTCGCTTGGCCAGTTGTGCCTCTAGAGTATGAAAATAGCACACCATATTGGAAGAGATAAGGTATAGCTCCATATAGCAGCATATATGTATATCTCCATCCATTTTGTTGGGATTCATGGCAGTCGATTAAAGAGAGATGAGATAGGAGGCTATTAAAGCATCATTTCTTCATTCATCAGGTGGTATAAGTAACAAAATGTATTGCGTAAAGTGGTTGGATATGATGCATATTATTGTGATAATGTGGAGCATCTGACTTACTGATCAAAACCCACTATGGTTCTTAACATTTTGACCTTGATGCCTTGCATCAACCTTAATAACATTGCATCAATCAACTTCAATAAAATATGATTCTGCATCAGAAGATGCAGAGACCGGGGTGTTTATCCTTCCTTTAAAAGAAATGTTGAACTAAAACCAGAACACTTATTTGGAATGGAGGGAGTACCGTACCGGAAAAGTATCTAGTGCTCCCAGGTTTGAGGTGCTCCCGGTGCTTCAAATATCTGAAAAACATTTTTAAGATGTTCAAAAAATTCTGAAAAAAAATGCAGCAAATCGACGGAGCATGGATGTCTCTTGTCACAAAATTTCAAATCAAAATTCGAAACATTGCTCGAGATACATCGACGTTCTGTCGATGCGCTGCATTTTTTTTCAGAATTTTTTGAGCATTTTAAAAAATATTTTTCGCATCGGAACACCGGGAGCACCCTAAACCTGGTTTGAGGTGCTCCCAGGTTTAGTTGATCTTCTTGCATGAGATGGCCACAGAGCTCCTTTTGAAGCACTGCAAGAAAATGACATGGTTCCTGCAGAAGAATCTCGAAATAATATAAAACTGCCAGTGACTTCGATAGAGATTCTGTTCCGTGCAGTTAAATGTTGGATTCTGAAACAGGATTTGTATGGTGCCGCCACTATATTCCATTTCATGATTGCCCATGTGGAGCTGGAGCAGCCACCCGGGTTTAGTGGGAGAGCAAGAAGTGTCGGTCCGGGCTACCGTGGATCCCAACTTTTCCCCAATAATTAGAGCATTTACGGCCGGACTTGGTCATTTGTAAACCTGATCCCTAAAAGCTTTTCCGTCACACGTTAAATTTATTTATGTGTCGGATACTTCATATTTAAAATCTTAAATCTATACAAAGCATGCAAACAAAAAAATCATATGTAGATCAACCTATACTACCATAATCCTTGTCGAAGATGTCCGTTATTTCTGTGCCGGTTCCGGGTACATGGGCGGCAGCCGCAGCTCCGGCTCCTCCGGCTACTCTGCATCGGCCTTCACCTCGTATGAGAAATATGCCCTAAAGTCAGTAATATTATATTGTTATATTTTTATGTTCATAATTAAGAGTGTATATTCTATGCTACATATAACTACCATGATCCTGGAATATGCGATTCAGTGAAAAACACATATGCATGTGTGGAATAATAAACGGTAAAGTAAGGTTTCTGGTCTCGCCCCTAAGACTATCTTAAGTGTTGTTGGTGATCACGTTTTTCGAATATTAGAATATTGTTAAGTGTAACGATGGTCCTAAAACAACATTAAAAGTACGACGTTAGAAGAGCGATCATATTGAATCAACTTAAACTTTTTTGTTATACTTTGAGATAATATCGTCATAAGTCTACTGTTATAACACAAACTGTTAACGTGTGATTTAATTCCTTAGACCATGAAAGTATCGTAGTTACTTCTTACCGTATAATGAGCTTTGGGGTTGCTCAGACGTCATCTATAATGCGGTGATCATAACGACAACTTACATATTTATCGGAAAGTTTGACAAGGGACTAGATAGCTCGAGAATGGAATTTGCTCCTCCGACGATGGAGAGATATTCTTATGGCCCTCTTGGTGTGGCGACATCCATCATCGTCTGGCCAAACACAGGTGACTATGTCACAGGGATGCCGGAACATGTCAACGAGAAAGAAGAACAAAACCGGTAACGAGGAGACCGTGTTGGAAATATGCCCTAGAGGCAATAATAAAATGCTTATTATATTTCCTTGTTCATGATAATTGTCTATTATTCATGCTATAATTGTATTATTCGGAAATCGTAATACATGTGTGAATACATAGACCACATTGTGTCCCTAGTGAGCCTCTAGTTGACTAGCTCGTTGATCAACAGATAGTCATGGTTTCCTGGCTATGGACATGGGGATGTCATTGATAACGAGATCACATCATTAGGAGAATGATGTGATGGACAAGACCCAAACCTAAGCATAGCACAAAGATCGTGTAGTTCGTTTGCTGTAGCTTTTCTGAATGTCAAGTATCATTTTCTTAGACCATGAGATTGTGCAACTCCCAGATACCGTAGGAGTGCCTTGGGTGTGCCAAACGTCACAACGTAACTGGGTGACTATAAAGGTACATTATAGGTGTCTCCGAAAGTGTCTGTTGGGTTGGCACGAATCGAGACTGGGATTTGTCACTTCGTATGACGGAGAGGTATCTCTGGGCCCACTCGGTAATGCATCATCATAATGAGCTCAATGTGATCAAGTGGTTGATCACGGGATCATGCATTACGGTACGAGTAAAGTGACTTGCCGGTAACGAGACTGAACAAGGTATTAGGATACCGACGATCGAGTCTCGGGCAAGTAACGTACCGATTGACAAAGGGAATTGTATACGGATTGATCAAGTCCTCGACATCGTGGTTCATCCGATGAGATCATCGAGGAGCATGTGGGATCCAACATGGGTATCCAGATCCCACTGTTGGTTATTGACCGGAGAGTCGTCTCGGTCATGTCTGCTTGTCTCCCGAACCCGTAGGGTCTACACACTTAAGGTTCGGTGACGCTAGTGTTGTAGAGATATTAGTATGCAGCAACACGAAAGTTGTTCGGAGTCCCGGATGAGATCCCGGACGTCACGAGGAGTTCCGGAATGGTCCGGAGGTGAAGAATTATATATAGGAAGTGCAATTTCGGCCATCGGGAAGGATTCGGAGTCACCGGTATTGTACCGGGACCACCGGATGTGTCCCGGGGGTCCACCGGGTGGGGCCACCCATCCCGGAGGGCCCCATGGGCTGAAGTGGGGAGGGAAACAGTCCCTAGTGGGCTGGTGCGCCCCCCTTGGGCCCCCCTGCGCCTAGGGTTGGAAACCCTAGGGTGGGGGCGCCTCCACTTGCCTTGGGGGGCAAGCCTCCCCCTTGGCCGCCGCCCCCCCAAGGAGATCCCATCTCCTAGGGCCGGCGCCCCCCCAGGGGGCCTATATAAAAGGGGGGAGGGAGGGCAGCCACACCTCAAGTCTTGGCGCGTCCCTCTCCCCTGCTACACCTCTTCCTCTCGCAGAAGCTCGGCGAAGCCCTGCTGCGATCACTGCGCATCCACCACCGCGCCGTCGTGCTGCTGGATCTTCATCAACCTCTCCTTCCCCCTTGCTGGGTCAAGAAGGAGGAGACGTCATCCGCTCCGTACGTGTGTTGAACGCGGAGGTGCCGTCCGTTCGGCACTTGGTCATCGGTGATTTGGATCACGGCGAGTACGACTCCATCATCCCCGTTCTCTTGAACGCTTCCGCTCGCGATCTACAAGGGTATGTAGATGCACTCTCCTCTCGTTGCTAGTTGACTCCATAGATTGATCTTGGTGAAACGTAGGAATTTTTTTTGTTTTCTGCAACGTTCCCCAACAGTGGCATCATGAGCTAGGTCTATGCGTAGTTACTATGCACGAGTAGAACACTAAGTAGTTGTGGGCGTCGATATTGTCAATTTGCTTGCCGTTACTCGTCTTATCTTGATTCGGCGGCATCGTGGGATGAAGCGGCCTGGACCAACCTTACACGTACGCTTACGTGAGACCGGTTCCACCGTATGACATGCTCTAGTTGCATAAGGTGGCTGGCGGGTGTCTGTCTTTCCCACTTTAGTCGGATCGGATTCGATGAACAGGGTCCTTATGAAGGGTAAATAGAAATTGGCAATTCACGTTGTGGTTTTGGCGTAGGTAAGAAACGTTCTTGCTAGAAACCTATAGCAGCCACGTAAAAACTTGCAACAACAATTAGAGGACGTCTAACTTGTTTTTGCAGCAAGTGTTTTGTGATGTGATATGGCCAAAGGTTGTGATGAATGATGAATGATATATGTGATGTATGAGATTGATCATGTTCTTGTAATAGGAATCACGACTTGCATGTCGATGAGTATGACAACCGGCAGAAGCCATAGGAGTTGTCTTTATTTTTTGTATGACCTACGTGTCATTGAGAAACGCCATGTAAATTACTTTACTTTATTGCTAAACGTGTTAGCCATAGTAGTAGAAGTAATAGTTGGCGAGCAACTTCATGGAGACACGATGATGGAGATCATGATGATGGAGATCATGGTGTCATGTCGGTGACAAGATGATCATGGAGCCCCAAGATGGAGATCAAAGGAGCTATATGATATTGGCCATATCATGTCACTATTATTTGATTGCATGTGATGTTTATCATGTTTTTGCATCTTGTTTACTTAGAACGATGGTAGTAAATAAGATGATCCCTCATAATAATTTCAAGAAAGTGTTCCCCCTAACTGTGCGCCGTTGCGACAGTTCATTGTTTCGAAGCACCACGTGATGATCGGGTGTGATAGATTCCAACGTTCACATACAACGGGTGTAAGACAGGTTTACACACGCAATACACTTAGGTTGACTTGACGAGCCTAGCATGTACAGACATGGCCTCGAAACACAGAAGACCGAAAGGTCGAGCATGAGTCGTATAGAAGATACGATCAACATGAAGATGTTCACCGATGTTGACTAGTCCGTCTCACGTGATGATCGGACACGGCCTAGTCTACTCGGATCATGTTATACTTAGATGACTGGAGGGATGTCTATCTAAGTGGGAGTTCATTGAATAATTTGATTAGATGAACTTAATTATCATGAACTTAGTCTAAAATCTTTACAATATGTCTTGTAGATCAAATGGCCAATGTTGTCCTCAACTTCAACGCGTTCCTAGAGAAAACCAAGCTAAAAGACGATGGCGGCAACTATACGGACTGGGTCCGGAACCTGAGGATCATCCTCATAGCTGCCAAGAAAGATTATGTCCTAGAAGCACCGCTAGGTGACGCACCCGTCCCACAGAACCAAGACGTTATGAACGCTTGGCAGACACGTGCTGATGATTACTCCCTCGTTCAGTGCGGCATGCTTTACAGCTTAGAACCGGGGCTCCAAAAGCGTTTTGAGCGACACGGAGCATATGAGATGTTCGAAGAGCTGAAAATGGTTTTCCAAGCTCATGCCCGGGTCGAGAGATATGAAGTCTCCGACAAGTTCTTCAGCTGTAAGATGGAGGAAAATAGTTATGTCAGTGAGCACATACTCAAAATGTCTGGGTTGCATAACCGCTTGACTCAGCTGGGAGTTAATCTCCCGGATGACGCGGTCATTGACAAAATCCTTCAGTCGCTTCCACCAAGCTACAAGAGCTTTGTGATGAACTTCAATATGCAGGGGATGGAAAAGACCATTCCTGAAGTATTTGCAATGCTGAAATCAGCAGAGGTAGAAGTCAAAAAGGAACATCAAGTGTTGATGGTGAATAAAACCACTAAGTTCAAGAAAGGCAAGGGTAAGAAGAACTTCAAGAAGGACGGCAAGGGAGTTGCCGCGCCCGGTAAGCAAGCTGTTGGGAAGAAGCCAAAGAATGGACCCAAGCCCGAGTCTGAGTGCTTTTATTGCAAGGAAAGTGGTCACTGGAAGCGGAACTGCCCCAAATACTTAGCGGATAAGAAGGCCGGCATCACAAAAGGTATATGTGATATACATGTAATTGATGTGTACCTTACTAGTACTCGTAGTAGCTCCTGGGTATTTGATACCGGTGCGGTTGCTCACATTTGTAACTCAAAGCAGGAGCTGCGGAATAAGCGGAGACTGGCGAATGACGAGGTGATGATGCGCGTCGGGAATGGTTCCAAGGTCGATGTGATCGCCGTCGGCACGCTACCTCTATATTTACCTACGGGATTA